AAACTTCTAAGCAGGGTTTAGTGCTGAACTCATGATGCTTAGTGTAATCCTACTTTTATCTGATTAATGAGAACTCAATTTCTTTGTAGGGCCCACCATAGGTTATCTTTTGCTACTCCATCATCAGCTTTTGTGATTTATTTACTTATGCCATTCTCCATTGAGTGTTTAGTAAGTAGATGCTGGATTGTCTCCATAGAGGATCTATTTGGCATAAATCCAAATTGGTTATCAGGCAGTGTTTGATTCTTCCATTATATTTTGTTTTTCCACTTTCCCATATTTCATAGCGTGATTCGTCAATTCCTCGAGGAGTTTACAGCTCCACATCCCTTTTATTTTTATATATTGGTATTGTAGTGCTCTTCCTCCACTCATTTGCAGCGTATCTTCAATTTAAATTTTATTTGATAGTTTTGTTAGCCACTCAGCTCCTACATTTTCATAGTTTTCGACGCCTCTGTAGGTATTTTTAAAATATGTTTCCCCCGTCTTTAAGTAACTCCACCAAACTCTTTAGTGTTAATTGGAGTTTCATTCTTTTATTTGGTTCATAGTTTCCAATTAATAATACGACATTAACAATCCTTGAAAATACTTTTCTCATATATCGAAATGTTTTTCCTATTATTTTATTTTTATTTTATCTATACTGTCTTTATCTGTGAAGTTTGTTTTTTAAGCACTGTCTATATCTGGTTCTACGTCCATCCTATTTGTATTTTGTTTTCAGTCTACTTTTATTAATAAAGTCTGTTCCTTACACATTTAAATTGGTCCACTTTTCTATGTGAAACCTTTCTTTTTCTTTTGCTAAATTTGTAAATTTCTGTGTGTCATTCCCCCTCTGTTTCGATCACTGTAAAGACGGATTTCTCATTTTATTTTTAACCAATATAGACGTCTTTATACTCCAAACTGATCATTAAGCTTATTTGTTGGAGTCACCGTGCGATTTCTCGTGACGAATCTTCTGCCCGAGTTTGGTTACTCAAATATCCTTTGGTTTATTTGTGTATTTTGAGACCATATTATTCCTTTGGACAATGGAATGCTGTTGACACTAAATTCAAAAAATCTAAAGGTGCCTTTAGTTTTTGTGGATCTAAGATCAATAGAATGACAGTTCAAGACGAATGAAGTAGAAATATGTTACTGCTATTTCTTTAGTACTGGATTCAACTATAGCTCTTAATTCAATGCCATGTTACCCTTGCCAAAAAATAAATATGTTACCACTGTTTCTTTATTCATTTAATTTTTGTGGCTTAACCTTAATGTAAGAATTGAATATGAACTTCAAATGTGCTTCTTTTGGCAGGTGAGAGTCAATGCTTTGCTTTGTCTAGGAGATTTGGCTCCTACACTTGATAAGCGTGCTATTTTGGATATTTTGCAAACAATTCAGCGTTGTACAGCAGTTGATCGTTCTGCTCCTACCCTTATGTGTACCCTTGGGGTGTCAAACTCAATTCTTAAGAAGGTAATAGTTTCCAATAATGAAACTGGCTTTGGAGTTGCTTTATTTGTCTCGCTTATATTGTTATGTATTATTTCAAGTTACAACTCATTGTCCTTACTTCATGATTTTCAGCATGGGGCGGAATTTGTTGCAGAGCATGTCCTCCCACTACTCACACCTCTTCTTACTGCCCCGCAATTAAATGTTCAGCAGTTTGCCAAATATATGCTCTTTGTCAAAGATATTCTGAGGTATTAATTTAACATGTCAAGCTTCACTCTATTGTGTTGGGGGGATTTGCAATGTCTGTGTGTGCTTACATGCATGCTAATTGGTTTCAGCATTATGTATTTGGTTTTTTGCTTCTTTAGTTTTCTGATATTAAGTGTTATTCTCTTTTTATGTAATGGTTTTGTGGCAGGAAGATAGAGGAAAAACGGGGAGTTACTGTGACGGATTCTGGAATCCCAGAGGGAAAACCATCTGCATCTGCCAACGGGCTCCAGTCCCAAGTCCCAAGCAAAATAAGCGGAAATGTCGCCACCGCTGCAAACGGCAGTCCAGGATGGGATGAAGATTGGGGCCCCATTAGAAAGCAGCCTTCCAATTCCCTCCAAAATTCTACAAATAGCATTACCTCAACTTATCCCATTCAGGGTATTGAACCAATTCAAGTAACTTCTTCACAACCAAATTCCTTGTTGCGAACTGCAGTTTCTAGTCAGCAAACACCCGTGTCATGCCCCCCAGTTGATATAGAGTGGCCTCCTCGGGCGTCCTCTGGAGTTACTCCTCTTGGTGATGCTGAGAAGCAATCAAATGCTGGAGCATCATCCAGTTCCAGTTTTGATGACATAGATCCTTTCGCCAACTGGCCCCCACGGCCTAGTGGCTCAGTAAGTGGAACTGGCCCTTCCAACAATGGTGCAATAGAATCGCCCAGGAACAAATATGGTCCCAATTCATTCTCAAGTACATCAAACAGTATGAACCTCTACAGCAACGACAATGACAGTTGGGCTTTTGGCACCCAAAGTTCTGTTGAGCAAATAGGACTGAATCAAGGCAATGCAACTTTGAATACTGGTAGTTTGGGTAGCTCAGGTTTTGACCCCCAGAGTTCTATTGGGTTTTTGAAACAGACTCAGTCCATTTCAGCTTCAAGTGCTTACACAGATAAAAAGTCAGCTGATTTGGGATCCATATTTGCTTCTGGCAACAATGCGCAGACAGCACCTAGACTTGCTCCTCCCCCTTCAACTGCTGTAGGTCGAGGAAGAGGTAGAGGGAAGGGTGCTAGTTCAGTGTCTCGGTCCAGCCATGCCAAATCAGCATCTGAACAGCCACCCCTTTTAGATCTGCTATAAGCTTATAATACAATGTTTGTATCTTCATTAACGTAGGATAAAAAAAGCAGTACAACAAAAGATTTTTGAGTGGCCCATGTAGAGTATCCCTGCCATGCTGTGTGGAGAGTGTTTTTGTAAATGATTTTGGGATACTACGTCATATTTCTAGCGTGGCCGACAGGAGCAGCTCTCGGGGATGGCAAGGTTTGTTATGTATTTGATCTATTGTGCTTAGTTTGTATTTTGTTGCGGTTTGGCACCAAATTTTGCTTTGTAATTTGGAAGCTTCTTTTGTTTAATTCTTCTGGATAGTATATTCTTCGTTACAGGCCCAGCTTCAGTGACTGGGTTGGAAATCAATAAAAGAGATTAAGGTTGTAAATGCTATTGGAAGGAATCTCTACCAGACTATTTTTAACTTCATTTGATTTATTTTTATACAACCTATGTGCAATCAACTTCATGAGAAGATGGTGGTCGAGATGTATTTGAACATGCCCACAGTGGCGATTGGCTTTTCAAGATGAGTTTTTGATGGCTGCTAGCCACTTCTTCCTTTCTATTGCAGCTACCTCTTCAAAAAGTAATCCTAAAGCATAGCATAACATGTCATGCATTAACAAATCAATAATATTATCAAATTAATTAATTACCAGAAAAAATGAGTATGAAAGTAGTTGGATAGCGGCATCCAAGGGCTGAATGGCTGAAGGGCGTCATTAGCGCCTCCACTTTTCAGTGATGAAATAGACAGGAGAAACATGGAAATGGAATATGGGGAATTTCAATCAGGTAGGCTTTATTTTTGCAGTCTTTTTCGGTTTTGGTTATGGCTTTCCCTAAGGGAGTTTCACTAAAACACCCAAAATGGGGGCTGAAATTATAAAAAAAAACCCAAACACCCAAAACCCATCATTACACACACTCAAAATTCATTGATAAACACACCCAAAAAATATACAATTGTTGATTTTGGGTGTGTTTTTATGTTTAAATAGTATTTGAGTTTTTTTATAAATACATGTCTAGGATTGGGTTTATTTATAAATTTGTAAATTAATTACACAACCAAAATCAGGGACTTGCTTTCTCCATTGACGAGGCATTTGTATTCAATGGTCGGGACCATCAACAAGCGCTGTGCAAGAGCTAGTGACTCAGATTTTTATTACTTGCATAGTGAGTTTATGTAGAACAAGAAATTGTTGTGAGTTTTTGATACATTCGGCATCATCGATGAGGTGCATCAATCTCAGGTTTCTATCGCAAATGGTCTTTCAATTTTATAGAAGTTTTCATTTTTCAAATCAAGCAACGTAGTCCTTAATTTTTGATATACACATAATTTTTTTTGTTACAATTAATGTTATTTCTTGACAATATTTGAAGGGATAGTTTTCACCAAAATATAGCTTATCTGCCCAAAAGACAATAAAAATTGGGTTTTTTTTTCTTCTCAACAATGTTATATGCTCTCTATTTACGATTTCACATTGGAGTTCCATTAAGGAGAACAAATGACAAATTCGTAAAAAAATAAATAAATAAAAAAGACCTTATTGAATACAAGACGTGAGATTATTTTGTCTTGGTATGTTGTATATTGAAAGAAAAAAAAAGAAGACACATTTTGGTAAATATGTCGCTTGACCAAACCAAAGATTTTATGAGTAAGGAGTGAAGTATTGTCCAATCTGGACAATATCTCCACGGCCATTGACCAGAAGAAAGAGGCGCCAATGCATGCCATTCTTGATAGTTATTCTTAAGAATTTAATCATAATTAATGTTGGTAAAGTGGTAGTTAGGACAGGAATATACACCAGTAATCCATACTTGTATACTCAATGAACCAAAGGCGGGAAGGTTTACCATCCCAAAATAAGGAAACTAAAAAGGCTCACATCAAAAGGAACATGCTGAGTGAATTGTGGGTCAAGGTAACCCACTTAAAAGAACCCTAAATTTTATTATTTTTTCAACAAAAACAAATGATTATTTTCCCTAATATATCTATTCGACTCCTATTACCAAATTTTGTTATTATCATGAGATGTAACACATGCAGCATAATCGAGCATTTTATTCCGTTAGGGATTTCAATTATTTATCATGTTGTATTAACCATCTATAACATCAGTCAGTCATAAGTAGAAGAAAATATCAACTTAATTTCCTATGAGTTGCTTTCACTCTTTCCACTGTGCATCTTGTTTCTGTGTCCATAAAAGCAAAGCTACCCATTTTCTCAGCTCTTTCATGCTCCAAGTGAAGGGGACAAAACGTGCCATTTCATTGTGGGGCCCATCTTGGGCTCCCTCGTCATTTATCTGATGGTTACAATGTGTCTCAAGAACCAAGATCAGATGATAAGGGAGCTTCCGTGGGGCTTTCAATTTCCCTCTATAGATCATCAAACATCATAGTTAAACAATTCTATGCACATCTGTGGTCCTAGGGAGCTTCTGCTGGGCTTCAATTTCCCACCTTGGAGTTAACTGCGTTCACATTTGATCTTTCGGATGGTACAAACTTTGATTTCTTAGTGTAGCTACACCCTGCAGTTTCATCAAACAGTGATACTTCAAAGGTGCAACGGCACCAGCCTGTGTGCATAGTTCTACTACTGCTGGAGCATGCCCATAAAAGCCCCTGCCTTCGTTCAAAAGCACATGAGGATCCTGAAGCCGCCGCCGCCATACAATCTTTGGAGGCATAAGATCATCTACATTTGCCTTTCTCCAAAAGTGGGTTCCCTGCCAACTAAGCCTAGCCTTATGCCCAGATGGCCCTATATGAACTTCTGAACAATGGTTACAAACTTTTGCTGGATAAACCGTCAACAACTTCTCCACACCATTTCTGAGAATTTCCCATGCCCTCAAAGTTCCACTGGCAATCATAAGAAGTTCATCAGATGGCAATGACTCAGCTCCATCAACACTAAAACAATCACTTTCCGGGTTCCAATTTGAATACCGATTTTCATCATTTGCTCCTGCTTGCCAGCATAGCTCAACAACTGCAGGAACACGTTCAAAGTCAAACCTCTGATGGTGCTTAATAACATCCTTGAACATGTGCTTCAGGTGAAATGCCTCTACTGGAGCAAGCACATCATTCAAACCACCAGTTATCCATTCATGAACGCGATTCTTGTCACGATGTTTGAAACCACAACAAGTCTGAATTAAGTGGCCTTTCTCGCCTATGTATACTTCTGGACAGAACCTGTAAAAGTAGGATATGGATGAAAAACGTTGGCCTTTCTTTTGAGTCACAGAAACTGTCCAGCAGATCAGGAGGGAGAATGGAGATCAAATAGATTAACTCTAAGTTGGAAAACATAGCTAGTGCAGCTCTCAAAAATAGCACTTAGGGAGCTCAGGAACATGTAGATATAGTGGTCTAATTTTTCCGAGATGAAATACAGAACATAAACTCTGAATTTTCCGTGAAAATAATTTCAGAAGACAGATCCAATAAAATTTGTATTAAAAAAGGCCTTAAGTATGTATTCCACTATTGATAGCTACAAAGTGACTCAATTATCCTAGATTTCATGGAATTTTCCTCATAACACAAGCCTAGAATTGAAAAAGAACACGCAGATCAAAGTCGATATTATTTCATGAAACATCTAATAGAAAAGTGAGGATTTCAATGCCAAATAGTTCAAGAATTAAAAGTAACATAAAAAATTAAAAATGGCAGATGAGGGATTTACTTGCAGGCCATAACTGGCAACACTTTGAGGAGAGTAGAGACACCTTGCATAATGAGCCTCCGGGAATTAAGGACCTCTTGGGCCACTGGAATCATGCCCGGTACTGGGTAATCCTTAGCCCGGTCTTGGATTCTCTTCTGAATCATAGGCTTTAGCTTCCTTAAGTCCATCTTATTTGAGCTAAAATACCTTGAAAAGGTGTACATAAGTTTGCCATTGAAATTGGAACTCTCGCACAATTTCTTCCTCAGTGCCATAATTTCCTTTCGTGCCAAAACTTTTCAACCATATAAAATCACATCTGCTCCAGAAAGGGTAGACAAAAGCCAATGAGCCAATGCAGAAAGCACCACAACAAGTCATCCAAATCAAGTATTGACATATTCAGAGATGCTTTGGAACCAAACCCCTATTTCATATTTGGATGGTATAATGTGCAACACGTTACTAGCTCAGCACAGCAGTACAGAAAACAGACACAATAATTACTAAAGTAGAACTTTATAATCGATTCAAAACCACAGCTTCCATATAAAACCATCTTACTTTAGTTCTATACACAAAAATGCTCTTTAAATTTCCACTAATTATCATGAAAATGAAAACCACCATGACCCAATTATGTATAGAAAGATTATACAAAACCCCATAAACTTTTGGGAGCGTTTGTTATGCACTGGATTGGACAGGACTAGATTCAAGGACTGGCTTGGACTTAGTCTTGTCCTATGTTTGGTGGAGTGCTGGACTTTTAAAGGGGGACTAATGGGCAAAATAGTCCTATTTAGCACTATTCTATGTTTGGTGCAATTTAGGACAGGATTATATTTCTAAACCATAAAAATAATTATTTTAAACATTAAATATATTTTTTTTGTTCTTAAATATGTATTATAAAAAATCACAAACTTATATATAAATCCAAAACTAATTTAACTATTATCAACATCTTCAACCAATATAAAGTCAAAAGTCATCAAATACCAAAACATACGACATATTTAAGATAATGAAAGTGCAGATACACATGAAAGGTAGACTAGAAAAAGCAATATGCTTAAGCATATATCAAACTGAAGTACCTCACTCAATGTTTCACTTAAGCGCTTGCGCTTCCCACGACCAAGAGCTGCCTCCTCCTCACATTGCTGCAATTCTCAATCTCAATCTTTAAGGAATTTTAACAAATGAGAACTGCTGCAAGCTAAATAAATGCAAGAAAATAAAAAATTAGATTTAAAAATATATAAACACTAGACCCAGTTGACCAAAAAATACATATTTATCCTTTAATACAACCAACAAAGTTTGACAGAACACATCACCAAAAAATAATTAACAAATTTCTAACAGCAACAAAATAGTAGTTGGCTTTGTCACACAAATGCAGAATTTTTTTAACACAACAGATTGAAAGAAGGATAGGTCTAACAAGATAACTGTTAATTCTCCCAAATATCTTGTTCGGGATTATTCCTTGCAGCTTCTGCACAAAGCTAGATGAACACACTCCAAAACATTGTCACAAATGAAATGACATACACTTGTTAGATTGCACTTCAACCAATTAACCCAACCCAAACACTGAACCAACACCAATACAGCAAATCACTCATATTGATGTTTCGGTTCAATAGCTATTGTCTAAGATTATAAATTGTCAATTCAATTACTTCCTGCTCAATCTCCAATAATGTTCTCCCAAACAAACCCACATATAGTAAGCCCCAAAATCTCTTATCCCATCATGTTCATGCACACAAAAAAAAATCGAACCAAGAAAAAACAGAAACTGGTTAGATTTGAAATCTGAAATCTGAAATACTAACGAAGTTGAAGATGAAGAACCTACTTAGATTTGGCTTCCAGCCAGATAGGTTGAAGCTGAAGAAGAAGACGATGACGTTGAAGCTAAACCCTCTTGATCGAAGACGAAGCAGACGACGACGACAGACGTTGAGCTCGCTCGCGCGTGTGTTTTCAAGTTTTTGGGCTTAGCTTAATTAAGCCCTTCATTTTAAGTGGGCTAAAATATGCCCAGTTAATGAGCTACGAATGCTACCTAGTCCAAGTCTTAATTAAGACATTGTTTGGCCCAAGACAGGATTGGGCTTCCTGCCTTTAAATTACAAGGGACAAAAAGGGAAACCCATTTTCTCAAGTTTATCAAATAACAAACTTTATACGTTAATAATTCATATAAATCAAAGAAAATGAGAAAGGCATTAGATTTAAGTTTGCTATCAATCAAACATAACCAAGAAAATAAACAGCATATCCCAAAAAACAGTAACAAGGACGAAACGAATAAGTACATCAATGCAAAGACTTGAATCCAAGCAAGCGATGAGAAATAGGAAGATCGGGCGGGAAGGTGGGAAATTAGAAAAAGGTTTTGGCTTGTCCAATTCTCAAATTTTAAACATTTTACTTGTTTTGTTATGTATTTTACTTGGTCTGCAAGCAACTCGAACTCGCGCCATTATGAGATGTGCACATATGGTGGAATTTGTTGAGAGATAACAAAATGAGAGCAGTTTTATGCATCTTTAATTCTTTATATTAAGCATTAACCCAGATTGAAATCGCATTCCATAACATAACATGGCAAAAGTTATAGCCTTATAGAAACCAGAAAACAGTAAATTATTGAGCAAACAAAACAAGCAAAGTCCTAGTTTCAGTTTGTTACAACTTTATCGATCTTGTAGGAACAAAATTTGCTCCTAAGCTCTGCACCAATCTTCTATGAACTAAAAAAAATGCAAGAACTAAGAAGTGTAACTTAGAAGTGCACACAGACGGCTGCGGCCGCCTACTAGAAATCTTAAATTTGAAGCATTTGTCTAGTTTTCTTTGAAATTGATTTGAAGTACTAAAGATGAAGCTTGTCAATTGTTTTTAAGATGGAAAATATGGTAGTTAACCACAATGCAATGCATGAATAGACGTAAAACATTCATTTCTCCAAATTTAATAATTTTATACACTCAAAACTTTTGAACGAAGAAATGTTCAAAAGCTTCAAATTGCAACAAGAATTATAAAAAATAAATAAATAAAAAAACCTCCATTTAGGGGCTTAGGGGGGAGTATCGTATCTGATGGATCTATTCTCAAGTAATAGTACTGATATTGCTTCTACCGTGATCGTTATTAGCTTTTCTCGAATCAAGAGCCAGCTATCCTAAAAGCCTTTACTCATGCCTCAAGCGTTTGATATTGGAATAATTTGGTTGTGATCAGAACTATATTAAAATAAGATGTCCAAGTTTTGAACTTTAAAGGATTCAATTATACTCTTTAAATGCATGACTAATCTAATCAAGAAACATTAATCACCCAAGATCATTGGATGCACTGCAACTTTTTATTTTGTTTTTATTTTTATTCAACTGAAGTTTGAAGAGGAGACTAAGTTTTCTAAACCACTCATCAAGTGAATGATAATAATTGGAAAAGCTTCAAATAATCCCCTCATTTCTTATGATAGACCTAATATGCTTCTACATGTAGGATTTGTAGTTCATGTATGGGTTTGTGTTTCAATATTTAGATCTGAAGATTGGGACTTGGGCATGAATTCGCAATTTAGGGCTCATGCTCAAGGCTCAAAGTTTAGAGTTTAGGATTTGCGATTCATAGATTAAGGATTAGATTCTAGTTCCAAACCAAAAATAAAAGCTAAAACTATGTTGACAAAAGAAAAGCCAGCCGTCACTAATCTTCCTCTGAGACATGACATAGAGAGCACTACCTAGTTACTTTAGGGTTTCAATGTACTAATGAGCAGTGAATCTATCATGATCATAGATAGTATATCACAGTTCTATTCTAAAAAAGTTTGCCATTTTTATTATTATAAAAATATTGATCGTATTCTATGTTTTTAAAAGAAAAAAATTGTTTTACGAGTATGATCTAAGGCACACTTCTCCTTACCTGAGCCCCTTCAATTTTATGTTCAGTCAACTTCATGAAAAGATGGTGGTGGAGATTTATTTGAACATGTCCACTTCCAGTTGAGTGAAAGAACAAGTAAAGTTTTTTATGGCTATATACTATCCACTTCTTCCTTTCTATTGAAACTACCCCTTCAAAAGTCCAATAAAAATTAGTAAAATACATTTGAAAAAGAGAAGTACTTAGTCCTAAAGCAAAGGAATAAACTAACAAATATTCCAAACGAAAGCAACACACATGTCAATGTCATGCATTTTCCAATCATCTCAACTCAAATCAAATATTACAAGAAAAAAAAAAGATATCAAATAATTGGAGCCGATTTGTTTAGCGGCATCCAAGGGCTGAATGGCGGAAGGGCGTCATCAGCGCCTCCACTTTTCAGTGATGAAATGGACAAAAGAGAAACATGGAAATGGAATATGGGGAATTTCAATAAAGTGGGCCTTATTTTTGCACTCTTTTCTGGTTTTGGTTATGGCTTTCCCTTTCCTGCCTAATTAATTACACATGACCCAAAATCAAGGACTTGCTTTCCCCATTGACGAGGCATTTGTACTCGATGGTCGGGACCATCAACAAGCACTGTGCAAGAGCTAGTTGTTAAAATATGAGAATTATGAGAGAATATTTGTTTATAAGAATTTTTTGTATTCTGTTTATCTACTGCCATACTCGTTTGGTATCAGAGTCAGGTTGGGGGAGGGGGAGAGTGAAAAAGATATGTTTCTTTTTCTTATGGAGATATTGCCTCTTTCTTGACTCCGACAATCCATTCCCTTCAAGGGGAGAGGAAGATTGAAGAGAAGTTATGTCTGCGTGAATGAGCTAAAGTTGATATGGTAGAATTTGTCGTTGTCGATTTCTGATGTTGTTGCTATTACCGTTGACGCTACTATCGTCGTTAACGTTGCCTTTGCTTGCTTCGCTTTCAGTTGATGCGGTCATTATCGTTGTTATTGATGTGGTCGTGCCCTCTGCCTTTATTTGCCCTTACTTTACTTTTGCCTTGCCTTACCCTATTTTTAGGAAACCTTGCATTTGCCGTGCTCACAAGGTTTCTGTGATCTGCCTTATCTATTGTTGTGCTCACATGATATCTGTATTATGCATTACCTACTGCCGTGCTCATAGGGTTTCTGTGTTCTATTTTATCTACTGCTATACTCACATGGTATCAGAGCGGGTTGATTGATTGAACTTGAATTGGACCTCTACCCTTACTAAATATGTGGTGTTCACATGTTGGCCTTGAATGTTTACCTATACCCTTTACCCAATACGTGATGCTCAC